ATATATATCTCCTATCTCTCACACACACACAAGCGAGTACGCACGCACGCTCAAACGCACGCATGCACACACACATGCATACACACACACACACACACACACACAAACACACACACACAGACAAGCACACATACACGCATGCACACACACACACATATAAACACATACAAACATACACACATGAAAACAAAAACATACATAACATACTCCCTCCCTCTCTCTCTCTCTCTGTCTCTCTCTGTCTCTCTCTCTCTCTCTCTCTCTCTCTCTCTCTCTCTCTCTCTCTCCGTCTTTTTTTAATAGTAGAGGATTTTACGGCGCTCGCAACTGCATAAGGTCAAATGAGCGCCAACCTCCCTCTCTGAACGTATACAATACATTATATCATTATAAAATAGGTATATTACATTATTACTCGTTTCTTCAGAAATTCATCTCTTATTTCCATATATATGTCTCTCTGTTTCTCTTTTGTCCCATGCATGCACATACTTTCATCTCTCCCTTTTCTCCACTTTATAAACTCTTTATCTCTTTCCAAAAAAAAAGAGAAAAAAGTCTAATAGAAAACACAATCTATCTTCTTAATTCTTTACAAAAGGCTCATCTCACAAATTCAAATTTTGTCTCAAATGAATTGCTCAGCTACACCTTGAAATTAACCTTACCACTTCAGAAACTAATTTGAATAAACCATGAGAACTTGAAAAATAGTTACACCAATGAAAACTTGTCAGCAATTATAAGCATTCAACAGGATCCTATTCTGGGACACCACAAATCTACCTCTAGAAGCCTAATGATCCAACTTAACTTGCAAAACAGCATTGTATCATCATAAGATTCATACAGCAGCCACATGAAAGACAGACAGATTGGCAGGATAGGTGGTGGTGGTGGAGGCGGTGATGAGGGTGGTAGTGATGGTGATGGTGGAGAGGATGCTGAGGATGTGGTATGGATTGTGAATAAATAAAGTAAATAAAGTAGAGGCATTGAAAAGCATAATACAGCAGTATAATATGCGACATCATGTGAGTGTTCGTCAAAAGTAAGTTTGATCAACAAATAGAACCCAAGTTGCTAGTTAGGCATAAAGAATATATTCACAATCAAGACCACAGTTTTCAACTGAGTAGTAAAAGTACTAAAAGAGCCTACCAGAGCCACCACCCCTCCCCCCTCTTCTCACAATCAAATCACATTTGCTCACATGCACACATGCATTTGTATACTCTCAATTACACACACACACACACACACACACACACACACACACAGAGAAATGACCTAAAATACATAAATGCATGCATGAACACGCACAAGGGGAAGTCTGTTTCGCAGTAATTTGAGGAAAGCAAAGACAGAGACAGAGAATGATAGCCTACTCATGAGAGACAGACGCAGATATTATACTTCAACTTCAGTCAGATAAAGTAGAGTGATAGACAGAATGAGGGAGAGAAATATCAACTTACAGAAATTCCAAAATATTATCTACCCAACAATTTCGAGCTTCCCGACAAATTGATCCAAAATGTAATAAACTGACTTCTTTAGTTCCTACTTTCGGTTTTAACTATTTCCTCACTTAATTTCGTAAACAAACCATAACAGAGAGACTGGTCGAGCTCTAGACTTAGATTCCGTCTTTTTTACAAAAATTGAATGACTTACCACACAGGCAGCCTACTGCAAAACAGCTAGATTCGCCCTTAAGTTTCGCAAAACAAGCTGAAAGGACAGGCAAGGGAACAATACAGCCTGCTGTTTACAACACAGCGACACGAACTAGCCAAAGTGTGAATCTAAATTCATACCCGGAAGCCTTTTCAGGTTGGCCAACGAAGCCACTTCAGTGAGCGACCTTGACCTTTTCTTGACCTTTGGCTTTCGTCGCTTCTTTCCATGCTGAAGAAGGGATCGGTCAAACTCTTGAATTTCACGCTCCGTCGCTGCCAGGGGAAATCCATCGTTTTCAGCTGAAATGAAAATAACAACAAGCACAGAAATAAATAATCTCTTCCAGAAATAACGCGTTAAAATCAAGGAACAACAAAAGTGAAATGAACGAAGCAGGAACAAGACGACACAATTTTTTTCAAGGGGCGTAAATGTGTTGTTGTTGTTTTTTCGTGTGTCATTCTACAGGTTTTCTCCCTTAGTAGCCAAAACTTCGAAGGCTTTTCAGAAGACGCATGCGCTTTATGCTATTCTTTCCATTATTTTGGTGAACTACAACTTTTTGAAGGAACATATTGTCATTTGGAAGTCATTGCACTTAAAATGCAGTTAGGCTAATTTCTCCAGCAAAAACAAATGAATTTGAGGACGTACATAAAACCCTTGACTAGCCATTGAGGTCAGGTTCGCAATGTATGCTTTGTATGGCGACTGGTATGAATGAGACAAAGTAAGCAGATAGCATTTCTAATTTTGTCTGAAAACCTAGAAAGAAGCAACCCAACTAAAAAACCTCACCTGCATGAAAAAGTTACATGGTAGTAAATAATTAGGTCTGTTTGGGGTGTTTTGTTATTCCAACAACAAAGTAATTCAGAAAACTGTAGGCCTGTATTGTAGAATAAAAACTAGAAAATATCAAATGACATAGAGACTCAAGAACAGATCATTGGGAAATGCTAGTTACATGATCTAGGCCTGTGTAATAGATTTTGTATTTCGAAATAAAAATAATGCTTTTGCAATTACCACAACTGTTGCTGTTTTAAAATTGCTGATGCCGATGTTGTTAAAGCTATCATTTATTTTATTTTTACTTTATCGTTCTTAGAATTGTTTTATGATGAAGTTAAATAACCTGCTAATCACACTGCAGACCGTTTCGAAGACGTGGGCATGAGTAGGGCATAAATATAAAAGGATCTTACGCTGAAAGCATAAAATACAAGAAGAACGAGACCCAAAAAAAAGAAAGAAAAAAAAGAAGAAATTCAGACCTGTCTTGTTTTCGAACTCTTAACTTCCAACTGACATATCAAGTTAACATCTACTCACAGAATTCTACATTCTGTGCATCTACTGCACCTGAGTCTGGAAAGTCTAAGAAGATGGCTACATTTTTATAACAGAGGAATTCTGTTCAAACGCTGAAGGGACTGGAAATTGTCTATCTGAAGGCAATATTATAGATTCTAAAAACATTCAAAATATAAAAAAAAGCTAGACATTTCAATATGTAGAAATTTTGATGCAAAAAAAATAATTATTCAAAATTCTTTTCATATATAGCCATAACAAGCAAAAGAATCAAATCAAAAGCAAATTTAGATCAATACCGAGCTTCTGTATATTCATGAGTCCATATACACTGCGAGCAACCAGTATGGCTCATGAGACCATGGCTAGCGCACTCCCGTTTGAGCTAACATAAACATTTCCAGATAACATCTGATTGTTCAAACCATCGATACATCTGCCACTAATTAACATCGTCACTGGTACGTGGTATTTTGACACTCCAGGGAACATGAACCCGGCCAATTAGTTCTCAATCAAGTAAGCATGTGCTGTGTGGGTATTTTTCAATTTTCCTGTCGACATCAGTTTTTTAATTTTGTTTTTTTGTTGGGTTTTTTCTTTGTTTTTTTGTTGTTGTTTTTTTTGTTCGGGTTTGATTGTCTTTGGGTTTTTTGGGGGGTTGGGGGGGTTGG